GAGGAAGCTACCAGCCATCTTCTCAGGCTGGGTCCAGAGCAGGCACCGTATCACTTCTGCCGAGTTCTATTGGCTAAAGCAAGTCTCAAGACGAGCTCAAGGGGAGGGGAAATGGTTTGCATTCTTGATGGGAGAAGCATGCAAGAAAGGAAGGAGAGGAATTGTTGACAGCTATCTCTGGAGCTGATCTCCCACAGAGTTCCCAGAGTTTGCTGCACTAAAGATGTACGTTGATCAGAACTGGTAACTTGGGTCTCCTCCAGCAACTGAATCAATTACTGGTTCCCAGACAACAATCAGGAAGCGATGAGGTGTTCCTTGGTCCAAAACCAAAAAACAAACAAACCAATATAAAGAATGTAGTGAATTTTAATAAAATCACACTAAACAATTTAAAAGGATTCTGAGATTATATTCTTCCTTTTGGGAAGGTTGTTAAAATATTCTTTTTTAAAATGAAATCATAGTGCTAGTTTAAGAAAAAAAAAGTTTTTACTGGCAAAATAGAATATTGGCCACCTTATATCAGTCCTTCCAAAATGACTGCTCTTTGAAATCCCAGAGTCTGGGAACAACCAGGCTTTCTTCAGTCACGATGCCCCCCTGTCCTCTGCCCCCCCGATGGTTCTTGCAAATGTCCTGGAAAAAGTCCCCTTTTACTTAAGGTACTTTTCTTTCTCTAAATGAAATTGTTGTGTGTGTGTGTGTGTGTGGCTCTGATGGAGTTTCCAAAGTTTTAAATTTTGTTCACTAAGCCAGCTCTGGGGGGAAAAGACTGCTAACTGGCAGAGAGATTTCTTTTCCAGCCTCTGAATTATTGTGTGGTTTTTACTCCGGGACCTGCTACCACCGGCAATCTTCAGTCAAGGGGAAAAGTCGGCTAAGGAGCATGTCTTGTCCTTCTTGAAGCCTGTTTTAAGCCCTTCTAATCTTGGTAAAATTAGCGAGACCCTTCTGAGTTATCTTCTCTACTTCTTGCTGCATCGTCCTATGCTCATGAGCTGGAAAGCATTTTTCACTCTGGTCTAAATTGTTTTGTATCAGGAGTTCTGCTTCAGATATTTTAGTACGAGGTTGAGGCTATCCTTATTTTATAGTAATTGAGGTTTTTTAGCATACTTTTTTGGGTTCATTTTGTTGGGTTATTTGTTTTGTTGATACTTGTTGGTTTTTATAAATTTTCAGAACACACTGACAAAGATATTTATTGAGCACCTCTTAGTGCCTATGGTGTGAAGGATACAGGAGAAAAACTCTGAAGGAGTAAAATAAAATTCATGATACAATTACAAACAAATGCATTCACTTATAAGTGTAGATTGGGAATGTGAGAAGTGGCTGTCACAATGTCCCCCCACCTTTTTTCTTTTTTCTGTTTTTCTGTCCCTTCTTATATTTGGGATGGGTCTCAAGACATAGATGAGTGTGAGGTTTCCGGCCGGTGCAGGCATGGAGGACGGTGTGTGAACACTCGTGGGAGCTTTGAATGCTACTGTATGGATGGATACTTGCCAAAGGGTGGGCCTGAGCCTTTCCATCCAACCAGAGATGCCACGTCGTGCACAGGTGGGTTTCTGCCAAAGAATGCAGCATCCGAAGGTGAGAGTCTGTTGGTGGTGACTTTCTCCTGCTCTGAGCCTAAGTCTGTGGGTCTGTGTTGGGGATGTGTGTTGGATCTGTTCCTTTGTAACCTATGAAGTAAAATAACAGTCAAGATAGAAGGGGCTATATTAAAAAAGCTAAAATTAGTATGCTTCGGGGATTTTGAGTAGTTAATAGATATCCAGATATTAACCATTATGTTAGATAGTAAACAGAGCTGATCTGGTAAGAGCCACCATCTCAAAAGTGACCAGGGGGCTTCCCTGGTGGCGCAGTGGTTGAGAATCTGCCTGCTAATGCAGGGAACACGGGTTCAAGCCCTGGTCTGGGAAGATCCCACATGCCACGGAGCAACTGGGCCCGTGAGCCACAACTACTGAGCCTGCGCGTCTGGAGCCTGTGCTCCGCAACAAGAGAGGCCGCGAGAGCGAGAGGCCCGCGCACCGCGATGAAGAGTGGCCCCCGCTTGCCACAACTAGAGAAAGCCCTCGCACAGAAACGAAGACCTAACACAGCCATAAATAAATAAATAAAGCAAACTGTCAACAAGTAAAAATAAACACAATTATAAAAAAAAAAAAAAAAAAAAAAGTGACCAGGGAAGTTATAAAAGCCTATATATCTTAAGGTATTGTGCAATTCAGATGTTTTACTTTGCTGGGCTAGGCTTCTCCTCCTTAGTTAGTATCAATTAGTGAGGGTTGATTGCCAAATCCTTTCAGTTTTGTGCATGTATAGATGCTATTACCTGTGGAAGGCCAGAAGAATGAATAGAGACACTCACTGGAAACATGCCCAGAAGTCATGTGGAAATGAACCAGCCTATTTAAAATATGGCTCGGGTGTGTATAGGTGAGGGGAGAGGGCATGAGGTAGAGGTGGAGAGAGATTATGAATTTTGAAAATTCACATTCATATAGTAATGAGTTTGACGTTAATTTGTTTCCAGAAATAGACTGTGGCACCCCTCCTGAGGTCCCAGATGGCTATATCATAGGAAATTATACCTCTAGGCTTGGCAGCCAGGTTCGTTATGCTTGCAAAGAAGGATTCTTCAGTGGCCCAGAAGATACAGTTTCAAGCTGCACAGCCTTGGGCACATGGGAATCCCCAAAATTAAATTGCCAAGGTGAGTTTTCCAAAGGTCCAGCTTCCCAGCTCATACCATCTTGAGATTGTTTTCATATTTCTCTCTAAATCTCTCTTTGGGGTACTGAATGAATTAAATAAATCCAATAAATTCCTATTGTTTCTAATAGGTTTTCAGTTGATTCTCTTGATATTTATAGGAATAATATTTTATCATCTGCAAATAATGATAATTCCATGTTTTGTTTTTCTATGTTTATAAAAGTTATATTTTTCTCTTGACTGACCACTTAGCTTGTGTTTTCAGAACAAAAATTTAAGTAGTAGTATTGACTCTGAATATTCTTTTCTTATTCCTGACTTTCATGGGAGTGTTTCATTATTCATTCATGATCTTGGCTTTTTGATGTTACATACATCTATTTATATTCTTATGTACACTGAGAGAGTGCTGTGAGCCAAGTGCTGTTCTAAGCATATATATATTTTATATATATATACATATAGAGAGAGAGAGGGGGGGGGAGGGAGAGAGAGAGAGAGACTCACTCAATTACAATATCCCTATGAGTGTGTGCTATTATTATCACATTTTACAGATGGGAAAACTGAGGCATGTAGAAGTTAAGTAATTTGTTTGAGGTTATCCAACTAGTAATAGAGCTGAAATTTGAACTTAGAATTCTAGTTTCTGAGATTGTGTGCTTAATCACTCTGGTATACTGCTTCCATTTTTGTGATGATGTTGGCTTTTGGTTTGTTTCTACATTTGGCTTTCTCTCTCTTCATCAGTTCACCAGTTTTTGACTATATGTACATAATATTGAGGAAGACTTCATCTATTCCCATTTTATTGGGATTTTAAAAAAAATCAGAAATGAGTTATTTTATCATGTCTTTTAGGCATGTATTAAGGTGATCATATATATTTTTTCTCCTTTTAACCAGTTATATGCTGGCTTATATTTCCTGATCAATACTAGTTGCTGGAATGGATTCTTCTGGGTTTTTGGTGTTTTTTTTCTTTTAATCGGAATTATATTTGCTAAATTTTACTTAGAAGTCTTGCATTGATATTCATAAGTGAGATTGGTCTATTTTCCTTTTCTAGGCCATCTTTGTTGGTTTGGGTATTAATGTTATTCTAAATTTTGAGGAAAGAATGTGAAAACATTTCCTTCTTTCTCTATTCTCTGGAATACTATAAATAGGATTTTTAAAGATTTCACCTAGAAAACCATCTGGATGTGGCACTTAGGGAGAGGCAGTCCTTGGGGTAGTTAAAAAAATTAATACTTACTGGTCCTGTTTAAGTTTCCTATTCTTGTTGATATCCATTTTGGTAATTTACATATTCTAAGAAAAATCATCTATTTCAAGTTTATTTTCAAATTTATTTGTAGAGGGAAGTGTAAGGCACTCACGTTTTTGATTTTCTGTAGTTATTTTATAATAGTGAAATATTGGAAACAATTTCAAATGTCTGTCAATAAGGAAATTGGTTAGATAGATCATAGCATGTACATAAAGTGGATATTTTGTCGCCAATAAAAATTATGTTGGGAGGAATCTTTATTGACATAGGCAAGTATTAACAGTATACTACTGAGTTACAAACTATGAATAACATGGTCTTAACTTTGAAAAACGTACATGTAAATGTAAATGAAAATGTTTCATATGTACATGTATGTTTATGAAAAAGTTTAGAAAGCTATCAAAACATTAACCATGGTATTTTCTACTGGGAGGGATCCTGGATGATTTTTTTTTTTTTTTTATAAATTTAGTTATTTGTTTTTTACTTTTGGCTGCATTGGGCCTTCGTTGCTGTGCGTGGGCTTTCTCTAGTTGCAGCGTGCGGTGGCTTCTCTTGTTGCGGAGCACAGGCTCTAGGCGCTCAGGCTTCAGTAGTTGTGACACGCGGGCTCAGCAGCTGTAGCTCGAGGGCTCTAGAGCGCAGAGTCAGTAGTTGTGGCACACGGGCCCAGTTGCTCTGCGGCATGTGGGAATCTTCCCAGACCAGGGCTCGAACCCGTGTCCCCTGCATTGGCAGGCGGATTCTTAACCACTGCGCCACCAGGGAAGTCCTGGATGATTTTTATATTTTATATACTTTCTGTATTGAAGGAATTTTTTTTAATGTATTAGAAAAAGTAACAAAGTTGTTTCCATTTTGGAAAAAAGAAAAAATAAAAGTTTTCAGTGAATTTATTGTGTAGCTAAGCAACCTCAGTGATGCACTTGGCTAAGTTAATCCTTTTGATATTGATTTGCAATTCAGGCTCTAAACACATTCTGATAATTATCCTGCGGGTTAAGAAATTCTAAACGTACAATTGAGTTCTAACATTATCTTTCCATGGATCAATTAAAATACAGAACTTAGATTAAAATGTGCCATAATGCATATCAAAGAACCCCCTAGAGATTTATATAAGAAACTCCATATAAGACAATTTGTATTACTTTGAAAATCAGTAGTCATCCGGATTATTGTACTGAGAATGTAGAAAGTTAGAGGAGAGGGCTTGTTCCATTTCCCAAAGAACTGTCATTTAGCAGGTCTTCACTTCTTTTTTCCCTCCTGTAATAACTGTTCCCTTTGCCTGCTGACACCCTCCCCCCTCTTCCTCCCCCATTTCACCATATGGCCACCGGCTTCTCCTGGCTGTGCCTGCTTCTCTCTAAACACACCCCTCTTATTTATCCCTCATTCTTCTTTGGGGCTCCAGAATCTGGGCTATGTGCCAGCCGGCACTGTATTTTTAGCTCAACGTTATGAAGCCACAGGAATTGGGAATTCCACTAAAAACACTAGCAAACTGTGAACTTGGATGCTGAGGAGCAGGTTCTTTTGAAAGGAGCAGCCGTGCGTTCCAGGCGGCAGCGTGTGTGTCCGATAATGGACTTCCCCATCAGAGAAGACACAGCTGGTGTCTCCTGTTGTTTGCCTTTTCCCAATTACCGTGTCCCTGGAGGCTCTGCTGCTGCCTTGGGGGTGGGGGGTGGGGCATTGTGACACAAGTTCTGCACCTGAGCAGGCCTCAGAAGTGGATGTTGGAAGTGAGGATGAAATCTTCCAAAATGGGTAGGAATTTGTGGAAACATCCATCACACATTTCCATCCGCTCTCTGGAAAAGGCACAATCTCTAGCTTGCATTTCCTATTATTTTGCTATTATTATTTCTTAAACATTTTTCTGCTGAACATTTTAATTTCCTAATTTATTTATTTTTGGCTGTGTTGGGTCCTCGTTGCTGCGCGTGGGCTTTCTCTTGTTGCGGAGCGCAGGCTCTAGGTGCGCGGGCTTCAGTAGTTGTGGCACACAGGCTCAGTAGTTGTGGCTCGTGGGCTTTAGAGCACAGCCTCAGTAGTTGTGGCACATGGGCTTAGCTGCTCGGCAGGATCTTCCCGGACCAGGGATCGAACCTGTGTCCCCTGCATTGGCAGGATTCTTAACTACTGCGCCACCAGGAAAGTCCCTTATTATTATTATTTTTTTGATTTTCAAAGAAGGTGCCAGTTGTAAGTGACAGCTTAAAGAATTTGAGTTTTTATAATTCAACCAAGCCAGGAGCAAGGTGAGGGAATCACTTTAACTGTGTTATCATTAGCAACAAATCCAGAGTCCAGCATACTTGATAGATCCTGTGACTAGGTAAGTCTGGAGTCTGGGAGCAGAGTAAAGACAGGTACACCACGAACTATCCTATAAGGGTGAACTCCTAAGTATCATGTGAGAAGAATGGGTAAAGACTAAGAGAGTTCAGGTGAGGAGATTGGGTGGTTCATGGAAGGGGTGGCATTTGTGTTCTTCGCTTTGGTAGTTTACCTCCCATGGAAGGGTCCAGTGATGAGTGGTTTGCAGTGTAGGCAGACCAGTTGAGGGTTCCGGGACTATCTGTCTTCCAGATTTTCTTCCCATCCTTTTTGGGGCCTTATCTTCCTTTCGGGCTGGGAATTCTCTCCAGCAATGTGTCTGGTACTGAATAGTCCCTTTAAGAATTCGCTTCCAAGCTGACTACTTCTTAAAACCTTTCTAGAAACAGTGAAATGACCACTGCACTTAGAATAAAATCCAAACTCCTAACCATGGATTTTGAAGCCAACAGGAGTTTGTCCTTTTTGGCTTTTATACAGGTTGCATCTCCCATCATTCTCTCCCAACCAGTATGTCAATCTCTTATCAGCTTCAGGGCCTTTTCTCTCTACTTGAAATAATTGCCAACCTGTTTTAAAAATTGTTATTGTGGTAAAATACACATAATATAAAGTTTACCATTTTAACCATGTTTAAGCGTACAATTCCACGGTATTAAGTGCATTCACAATGTTGTGCAATTAACACTGCTGTCCATTTCCAGAACATTTTCATCATCTCAAAGCAGAAACTCTGTACCCATTAAACAAGAACTCCCCATTCCCTCCTCCCTCTAGCCCCTGGTAACCTCTGTTCTACTTTCTGTCTCTGTGAATTTGTATGATAGGTACCTCATATATGTGGACTTATACAATACTTGTCTTTTTTATATCTGGCTTATTTGACTGAGCATAATATTTTCAAGGTTCATCCATGTTATAGCATGTATCAGAACTTCATTCCTTTTTTTTCTTTCAGTTTTATTGAGATATAATTGACACACAGCACTGTATAAGTTTAAGGTGTGCAGCATAATGATTTGACTCACATACATCGTGAAATGATTATCACAATGAGTTTAGTGAGCATTCATCATCTCATATAGATACAACATTAAAGAAATAAAAAAGTGATATTCTTTTCCTTGTGATGAGAACTCTTAGGAATTACTCTCAACAATATTCATATGTCATGTTGTACATTTCATCCCTACTACTCATTTATCTTATGAGTGGGAGTTTGTACCTTTTGAAGGATATCATTCCTTTTTCAGGCTGAATAATTTTCTACTGTATGTGTACACCACGTTTTATTTATTCATTCATCTGTTGAGGGAGGCTACCTGCTTTCTGTACAGGAAGCTCCTTCTCATCTTTCAAGTTTCAGCTGAAATGTC